ATGGGTTCTAGCCATGGTGCCTCACAGGAATATCATGAAAACTAATTCTCGAATTTTGACTTGGAACTCTTCATAGAGACAGACCTTAACGAGACTAGCTTCTTGTAAATGTTTCAGATCTTGTTATTGCTCCTATCTTAACATAAAGCTATGATAAAAACTTGTCCATTATATCTGATGACAAATTCGACGTTCTTATGTCAACATAGACGATAATCAAAAGATTTGAAATTTTCATAATAAATCACTAACACTAAAAACTTGTTTGTGTTAATTTTGGTTTTTTTTAAATCTTTTAAATAGAATGGATTCATTTGTTCACTTTGTTTTTTTGATTCTCACTGTTTTTTTAATTGTTCAGCAGTTGGTTCAATATATTTTTTCGATTTTTGATAACTTAATGTATCACCATAGCATGAATTAGAATTAGAAATTTCTCCATTATCATCATAAAACACACCTTTATTATCATAATATGAACTTGTTGTTATCGATTCATCTTCGCTGTCTGATTGAGAATCATTTATCCAACCATCCAAATCCAAAAACTTTGAGCTTTAGCAGAAATTGGATTAAGAACATCATCAAATAATACTGATAATTCATTAACATTAAATTCAGATTTTTCAATTAATTATAATGTTGTTTTAAAAATATGTTAAATAACACTTGGCCTAAATAAATAATTTCTTTTTTTTTTATATTTGATATTTCGAGCTATTGATAAAAGACATCCGGACATTTATTATGATTATTTTTCTAGCATTTTTATGAACTTTTCAAGTTCAATTAGTTTCGATCAATATTTTCAAAACAACAACTTCTCAGAATTTTATGACGTATCATCTAGGAATAAATTAAGTATATTAGTTGCCTGATACGGAAAAACAAACTATAGTATATTTGAGCAAATAGATTCTTTCGAAAAATAATTTTTTAAATTTTGGATAGCTGACGCTAATTAATTGTGATTATCTAGCTTCTTTCATTGGAAAGGTTTCTGATAA